ATATACAAGAATATATTAATAAAATTAGGAAATTAAAAAGTTATAGTATTATTTAAAGAGTAATAATTAAAGCAAAACTTAAATAACATTGACAGACCCTAGCTCAGTAATCTAAGAAACCTATGTCCTGCCTCCGTAACCATGCCATTGACATCAAAATCCCATATTCTTCTTTGGTGTTCGACAAGCTCTGCCTTGCATTTGTGGGAATCTCGACCAGTCTTGAGGTTTCTCCACTGATAAAGGTCCCCGATATCGCGAGATCCTTGCACAAGCCACTGGGATCTCTCGAGGCGCACATTACTGTAGGCCCGGAAAGCAGCCGAAATAGCTTTGATCCTACTATGTGCGCCCTCCTCATTGATGTGGTCCAAGGCCAAGTCTAACGTGGTAGCCAAGACGAGAGCGTCTTCTACGCCCATACAGGCACCAGCTCCGAGGAAAGGTGTGGTGGCGTGAGCAGCGTCTCCCGCTATACAAACCCGACTTTCGGCATATGTAGACACTGGATGGTCAGCCGTGTCGAATAGAGCCCATTTTGTAAGGTTTTGTGGCAGCCTCTGAATGATCTTCTGGATCGATGGGCTCCAGTCAGAAACATATCGGCTCAACTCATCTCTTGTCGCAGCTGCTGTCATCTTTTCCCCTTCCCATTCCCCATGTTCGTGGACAAATACCGCAATGTTGAGGAAAGTCCAGTTAGCCACCTTTAAGCCAGTCAGTAAATTACGAAAATCCAGCCATCAAAAGCACGGTAGGAGATGTCTTACGGGATATGAAACGATAGCCACTCCAGGCCCCATGTGCGTGCATTGATTCATTCCTTTGTCGGGGCCAAATGCGGCTACTGCATCTGCAATAGGTAGAAGAGCTCTATACGCAACCTTGTGAGCAAAGTGCGCCTGCGAGGGTAAAGTGTCGACGCCCGCCAATAGTTGCCGGGTTCGCGAGCGGACTCCGTCACACCCAATCACTGGACCGCATTAGATGAGCCACCAGTGCACGTAAATGTATATAGGAGACCTTACCGCCGTCGACCTCGTAAATGCTTTGGTCCGAAAATGTGAGAATGACCTTGTCGTTGCTCGCTTCGTCTTGCAAGTCTTTCAGTTGTTTGCCCAGCTTGATCGAGCCGGCGGGTAGCATGCTGGCCATCTCATGTAACAAATGGGATCTGAGGCACCCTTTGTAATCCAGATTTCTTGCTGATACTTCAAAAAGTAGAGAGTCCTCGGACTCTGCTTCTTCTTGCGTGGTGGGGTTGAAACCATCCCAGTAACGATTGCAGGGATGGCGGTTGACCTCTCCAATGCGCTCCAAGGCTTCCAACAAGCGAGGGTCTAATCGTTTCATGCACTCGCGTGCGACGCCAGTAAATGCGAAACCAGCACTGACTTCAGTAAGCTCTTGAGCTTGCTCAAAGACGGTGACCTCAATTCCACGTTTCAACAATCCTATCGCTACCATCAAACCTACAATACCACCTCCTATCACTGCGATTTCGAATGATCCCTCTGTCTGCTTTGCAACAGAGTCACGCTGCTTGTTACTCATATTGACGGTCGTTTTGTATGGATAGCGGAGGATCAGAAGATGCTTCAGCCCAAAGGAAAGTTTAGTGTAGTAACCTGATATATAATATGCTGAAAACCGTTGCGAACAGAGGTACAAATAACTATTGTTCCCAACTTCATGGCGTGCGTAATGTCGAGCTTTCCATCAATGTTTCATTATAGCATGCACGCCAGCGATCTGCTTAGCGCCTTACGGAATATCATATCGGAGTTTTGTTTATTAGCGACATGGTATATCTTTCCGTTACATGCAACTTTTCTTACATACACAGATCATCTCTTTATCCATATCATATCAATTTTAAGCATGAAGAAGACAGTTCTGATTACCGGATGCAGCGCTGGTGGCCTTGGCTATGCTTTGGCTGAAGAGTTTCACAAACTTGGCTATCACGTCATCGCCACAGCCCGAGACACGACAAAGATTGGCCCCCTGGCAAACAAACACGACGTCGACGTCTTCCCTCTCGACGTCACATTGCCTGAATCCATCTCGGATTTACATGCTAAGATGCAAGCCAAGGGAATCAGACTAGATATTCTTGTCAATAATGCTGGTTGCGCCACTTTCAACCCCTTAGTGCACGCGGATATCGGTAATGCCAAAGCTTTGTATGATGTGAACGTGTGGGGTTCTCTGCGAGTCACGCAGGAATTTATACCACTGCTAGTAAGCACTCAAGGAGTGATACTAAACATCGCGTCTATGGCTGGAGCAGTTCCTCTAGCATGGCAGGGAAAGTGTTTCCATCAATTCAACACCCAATAACTAACGTCGCTGTATACAGGCATTTACAACAGTTCGAAAGCCGCCATGACTTTTATCTCCGAGACGCTCAAGATTGAGCTCGAACCTCTGGGAGTCCGTGTAGTGACAGCCATGGTTGGTGCTATCAATACCGAAATATACGATGGCTGCGATGTCGCACTACCAAATGACTCGTGGTATAAACCGATCGAGAGCATAATTCAAAGGCAAGCAAGGGGAGAAATGCAACTGCCCAACAACGAGGCAGTAGAAGTCACAGCAGCGTCTATCGTGAGAGATACGCTTAGTGGGCGAAGGGGGAAGATCTGGCGTGGTGGGGAAGCGGGAATAGCTAGTGTTGGCTCATGGCTTTTTCCGGTTTGGCTTGTTGAAACTATTCTCCACAGAAACAGAGGCTTATCTGCACTTCGAAAGGCACATAGACAAACTTAGAACTTTAAATAAATAGAGTCTATAAGACTTTACTTTATTATTATTATTATTATTAAAGTAGTAACCTTCTATTAAGACTTAATAGGACTTTGATAATTATTAGATAATAATTTTAAAGTTCAGGACTTATTATTATAGAGTTTTAGCCTAAGTATAGTTTTAAGTAAATTATTTATCAGTCGTGTCTAAGAGAGTATATCTGTTAAGATTGTTAGATAAATGTTTATTAAAATAAACTTAATTCCAGTAAGATAGCTAAATAACTATTTAAGTCTCTAATATTTTCAATATTAAAGGTCCTGACGATTTCTATATTACCTACAGAGCCAAATCTGAATATATACTCCACTACTATCTTCTAATTAGTCTATTGAATCACATTATGGCCTGCATCAACCTAGGACCAATGCCCTTCAGCTCACGCTGGAACTCTTGGTGGTCACACAATCGACAGTCTACCTGCAGACCAGGAGCAAAAGCAACTATGCCAAAAAGTACAAAGAAGCAATGGCCAGGTAGCCTACCAGTTCTTTCAACTATCTCGGAGGCTTATCAGGTTACGTCAATTAGGTAAGAGGGCTCAATGCAAGATTAAGATGATAGAAGCATACTAACATCAAATGCTTAGGGTACCTATAATGTTTATATTTTGAAGATGTATTATAGTCTTAAATATGAATGCTTTCCTAATTACTTTAATCCTCAGAATCATCACGTTTTGCGAGGACTTGGCCAAAAGTGCTCCGGGCGGCTTTCATAACCCTGGCGGGGTTTTGAAACTCCCACTTGCCCTGAAGAGCAACATTGCACTAAGAGAACCATGGGTACTCACGCCATCCAGCTCCCCCTCTGGCGTTCTTTGAAGACTGTAGCTCCTTATGTAGGTCCTTAGCACTCCCGTCTCTGACCAATTCCACCGCGACGCCCGTGATCCTTTCATATTCCAACGCCAAGTCTTCAAGAGTGTCCACTCCGTACTGAAACTTGAAGCTGCCTCCGTTACCAGCTACCACATCCGGCTGCTTCAGAAGCTCAATAGTCCACATAGCTGCATCATCCATCGGAGTCCATGGGATCTTCCGCTTGTGCACATCCCCCCGGTAATGAAGGTTTGCTGACTTGCCATCCGACTCAAAGGGCCCTACGCCTGGCAGACGAAGATAATCAGCGAAGAAGCCTGTAATGATATACACTGGCTAGATCGGACTCGTGGCTGCAGCATGATCGACGAAGGCCGGGACGCCGTTGTACAGTTCGAAGTCACCAAAGGTAATTGACAACCAGTTACTATTCCAGGTCGGGGCCACAAACGTTTTGACGCCTGCTCTTTCGGCAGCGTGAAGAAGCAAGAGGCACCCGTCGAGGTTCAACACAGGATCAGCTTGGTAGGCGCAAATAACTGCATCTACACCAATAACGGCGCCATCAAGGGCTGGTATATCATGGTAGTTATCGCTCTGGATAAAAGACTCCAGTTGCTCCGTCATTGTGGTGTTAAGCTTTCCTGGGCTTCGTCCAAGTCCTCAAACCTGCACCCCGTTGTTCAGGGCAGCCTGAGCCAGGCGCTGGCCAATCGGGCCTGTAATGCTGATAATTAATATCAAGGACAATTAAAAAGGCGTAATTTTACTTGACCTTATGAAATTTGTAAGTTTTATTAATTAAATCTTTTAAGATATTACTTTCAGTCTTAATATATTAGATATTTATAATAAATTACTTAAGAAAGTTATAATTAAAGTAATTTATAATATATTTTAAAATAATATTTAACTTTAAAGTTTACTTAAAGTAATTTATTTAATATAATTTCTTTAGATATTAATTTAAATAAATTAAAGAATAAATAAT